GTTACACAACTACGACTGTTGGGAGCAGGTTCAACACCTGCACCACAGATATTTACGGTCGAAATTCTAGAAATTGTAGCTCCGTGATGCGTTTTTGTTTAAAAGTGGACGATTCCTTTAAAGCGAGTTCATTGTGTTGTTTTGAGCAAAATATTAAACGAATGGTTTGCCTTGAATGTCTTTTATACCATTGAAAGAAGGAGACGCAGCTCTCAATACAATACCTCTGAATTTTTTTCTTAGTACGTCTGTGGTTAACTATGAAGAAGTTCCAGTGAAAATGATAACTTTCGACTATTAGTAGAGTAAAATAATTTCCTAATATATAAATATCATCATCAACCCATTTTGACGTCCCACTGCTGGGCACGGGTCCCCTTTCAAGCGAAGGCCATAGTCCGCACTGCTGGCCAATGCGGGTCGGGGACTTCACACTTTTACCAAATCTTGTGAACCTTATTTGACGTTCAGGTTTCATTTGCTCATGGTAAACTTCAAAGTAAATATTGCATACAAATTCCGAGAAACTCAGTGGAGAGAGAGAAACTGTGAGCCCGAATCCGAACCCACGGCCTCTGCTTGAGAGGCGGCAGGTCAAACCATTAGGCTACCACGGCTTTTTGACCATATAAATATGAAACCTGTTTATTAATAACAGAACATAATGGTTTAACATCTACATAATTTTGAGTTGTATATAATAGTGAATGATAATTTTTAACACACATTTGTCACGCCAAAATGCTGCATACTCTTTATTTATCTAACCGCTAAAATAGTTAGTTGTTCTTATCAGTTCTTGAATCCAAAAAATTAGAATACTTTTCATAGCCAGATTGAAAAAGCTTACCATTTGCAGCTGCTGCTTCAGCACCTTCCTCATTGACTTCAATGAATGCCTTTTGGATGGCTGCACTTACAAACATACTTTTGTCGTCCTTTATCAAACGACTCAATTGTGCTTGGTGAGAATGGAAAAGACGATTCACACCCATCTGACAAATTTAAAATAATTATTTGAAATATAAAAAAATTATATAATTTTGAGGAAATTTGATAGATTACTATTTCTTGTGTATCTATGATATTTTAATAAATGCACATCTATGTTAATGTAGATTCTTTGTAAGGAATGAACGGTAATGTATGCTTCGATAAATAAATATATGTTGGTACTTGACACACAATTTAGAGAGAGATTACAATATTTCTAACTATAACCGTTGCTGGTGATTCTTTCGGTGTGGAAAAATTTGTTATTATTCATATAATTCAAAATTCATGGCCGTTTGTGCACGCCAACTTAAATCCAAATTTGTTTTGGATGCATCGGTAAACTGACCAACTACGACAGTTACATTATTGGCAATACTTACTTTTGGAAGAACAGTCTTAAGATTAGTTTCAGTCTCAATCTTGAATTTGGGCAAAGATACTTCTATGGCAAAATAGTTCATATTCGATGTAGCTAATTCCAAGGCGGCAGGATCTTTAAGCTTTTCTACGAGAGCCGCAAGGCCGTCAATTTCTTTGGGTAGAATTACGATGAAAGAGGCTTCATATCCTTTGTAAGGCAGCTCCAACAACTAAAGAAGGTGTTTATGGTAAGTAATTTCTCTGTAAAATGAAGTTATGCAAAACAACACAAGGATTTTTTTTAACGGAACACTCTCATAGCCACGCACTAGGGAAACCCTGTGTCGCAGGTGCCATGGGCACACAATAGACAACCACAAATTACACCCAAACTCACGAGCAAAATAAATGTAAGCTGTACACATATTTCTCCCGGCCTGGGAATCAAACCCAGGACCTCAGCATGGAAGTCCAGTAATGATAACCGTTCAGCCACAGAGGCGGTTAAAGTGCTTAGTGTAAAGGATTTAGAGTGTTTGTGATTTTATTTAACAAAAACTTATGAACGGTATAAAGGACATTAAATTTACATAGTTATATTACCTGGGCATTCAACTCCTTGCTATCAGCATATTTGAATTCATCGCTTGTGTGCATCATTGGAACTTTGATTGTTTTGCCTTTGGAGACGTAGAAGTCTTGCTCCGTGGTATCTTTCTTATTGAAAGGACTGTCCCATTTGCCCTAATTTTTTTTAAACACGTTTAGAACACTTGTAAGTGTAATAGAAAAATGTTCCAAATTGAAGTTTACAAATTTGTCATAATTTTTTTAAATATCAGTCAGTTTATGAAAGTCACACTGATTGTTTCTGAGCATAATTATACTTATTTTACTTGGATACCGAACTCTGCAATCCTTTCGATAGTTGTATGCTTACCTTGAAATAAATAGCGTTGACAAGTACAAGACGGGTGTAGGAATCCAAGAGCTCAGCTTTCACTAAATCTTTGATACGGTTGTTGGTTTGGTCTTCTACCTGTGAAGGTGTAGAATTTTAAAATCCGTACCAATTGTCAGATAACAAACATTTTTTTAGATACTAGCTGATGCCCGCGACTTCGTGCGTTGCGTTGAATAAGTGTTCGAGTAACCTACTGTACTACTTACTTGAAAAATTATTGGCTCACCATACAAATTTTCATCCACTATTTTACCCACTTTAAGATTTATTTTTGTGAGAAAAAGTAGCCTACGCCTTTCTCCTAAGTCCCATCTTGGTATCTCTATACCAAAATGCATCAAATTTGGTTCAGCGGATTAGGCGTGAAAACGTAACATACAGAGTTATTATCGCATTTGTATATTAGTATATTAGTTTGAATTATTCAGAAGAGGGTGGAGCTTTTTACCCAAGTATTGATTTCTTTAGCTGTTTCCGTGTTCTTCGTAAAATCTACATTCTTCACTTCAGACTTGAAGACATCTCTGGTGATAGCAGAAAATTCAGGATTCAACTCGAAACCTTTAGGAACATATATTTTGCTAGCTGTTTTGAGTTCAATGCCTTTTATTGATAGCAACCTGTTGTTCAGTCGAGAAAATACTGCTTTTGTCTAAAAAAGAACATAAGAAGATTTTAGTCATTGGTAATAAAATGTGTTCAATAGTCAAGATCGTTCGTTCCAACACACCAGACACTTGTCAGAATTTACTTACAATGTTATCGTTGGGGAGACCAATGGCTTTGAGAAGCTCATTATGAGATGCACCTTCTGACGCCAAGCTAAGTTGGGCCAGAGGAGTCATCACAGAGAACGCAGACAATACAACACTTTCATCCGGTTTGCTCTTTACCACTTCCTGCAACACAAAAAGCAACACAAAATGTTTAATATGAAATGATCCACAATAATTTTTAGAGATTACACTCAATAACAGTTCTTAATTTCGTACTCTGATATTGTATACTATATGGGCCATAATTTTCAAATATAGGCTCATATTTTTTAAACGTTTATTAAGAATTTCCATTTCCGAAAAATAAGAACTGAAAGTCCGTAGTACTCACAAGAATAAAATAATTTTGGGTACGTTGTTTAGCTAATCATATTCTCGGGAGCGAACGGAGATTTTATATATTAAAATTCGTTATTAATTAAAATAAAACTAGAACTTAACTAGATAACCGGCAGAGTTCAATGCCTTTCGTTTAATAGGTGGTCTAAGGCCTTATTTATGTAGTCAAAGCAATGCACTACAGAGGAACTTTCTAGCCTAAGCTGCAGCGTAAGCTGCCCGAAAGTGCATGCAGATCTACCTTGGTTGTTATGACTAACTCTATACTCTCACTTGTATGGTGCGGGTACGATACAGGTGCATACTGAGCTATGCAGATGTTAGGTACCCGGATTTGTCAGTCATCCAGCTCCAGTACATCATATGTATACATGAAGTGTATTTATGAAGATATTCTTTGGTTGCACTCCGTTTGAATATGTATATCTTTCTTACCTAAGGTTGCCTGTTGTGCATTAACTTATTAGTTTTTTCTACTTAAGTTACTGTTCTGTGTTGCCACTGTATATTTTATGTGTAATAAAGAATATTTAATTCATCCATTCCTAAGAGCACTTTCAAGCGTAGCGGGACTGTGTAAGTGTACAATTACGCACCATTTTGTCTGGGAGGTTAAATAGAACGATTTTCAGTGCCAAATGCACTGAAAATTAGTACCAAATTCATATTATCTTTGGGAATTATAAAATTTTTGCAAACAAATTTAAACGTTCAGACTATACAGAGAATTCTTTTACACAAATCACCGTCACTTTCACTATGACGGTATTTTGAATATTTCTAAAAATTTTAAAATACGTATTACTACGAACCTAAGGGTCGTATTCTAGAACTCTACTCAATGCTCAAGTCAGGATTTGAGTATGGTTTAAAGAGCACTCGAAATCATACTCAAGTACCTGCCATTAGGGTCGTATTTCCAGTGTTTGTGTTTCCATTGCAATCCTGACTTGAGCATTGAGTAGAGTTCTAGAATACGACCCTCAGAAAGTTACGAGATTTATATAAAGTGTAAGAGGTGATATTAATAAAGTTCTTTCGAACTATATACGACACTTTTATGTATTATTTTTAAATTGAGTGTAGAATTTTTTTTCACTTTATCCGGATAAAAATTATGCAAATCTCAAAAATTATTTTTCCCCTTACTAAGCAAATTTGCCACTCGGGAGTTCTACTCTAAATGTTTTAAATAACTTGATCTGTAGGTTTTTGCAATGAAAAAGCCTTGTCCGAAAAATGGTCTCTATAACACACTGTGCGCCGCCGGTTGAATCGGCGCCGTGGGGTCGGTGCACATTCACCACGACGTGCAAAGTACGCTTGCCTCAACGCGTTACGAGACACCAAACTCTGTTTAATCCTTTTAATTAAGACGTTTAATTAAAATGACTGTACAGAGTTTGATGTAAAGGAACGTTTAACTTAATAATTACTTAAAATAGCTTTACAGAGTTTGAAAGAAAGACACGTTTAAGTTAACGAGTTATAATGGGCGAAAAGTAATCCCAAAATAACAGAACAATGGACGAGTAGAAAGGCGGAAAATCATCGTTCATCTCTGTAGTCTCCGCTATAGGAAGAATTTATTTAGCTCACAGGATTACCACGCTGCACTGTATAGTCCGCTGTATCGCACAAGTATCCGTAAAGTTTACTTGCAAAGTTTATGGTAAAAACCACTTTTTCATGTAAAAACACTTATTAGGGTTTTCGTGAACGTGGGAGACAGCTCTTCAGTAATTCTACGGGCTGCGCCACCTCGTTTTCGGGAGCAAAAGGAGCTGTTTTAAAACTAGAAATAAGACCAGAACTTAACTAGACAACTGGCAGAGTTGGATTGTCTTTTAATGGGTGGTCTTATACATATCCATTAGTTTGTCTAAGGCCTTATCTAAGTCGAACCAATGCACTACAGAGGAACTTTCCCTTCCAACCTGCAGCGTGAGCCGCTTGCAAGAAATTATTACGACTAACTCTAAACTCTTAAGTGTACAGTGCAGGGACGATCCGAGTGATTAACTAGCTATTCCAATTGTTTTCAAGCCTTTTCTCGTGAAAACAACTTACAGAATCGCGTTTCGACGACTGGGTAATTCAAGTTTTCTTTGTAACATGATATTTTTACTAAGATACTCGGCTCGTGGATGATTGATGAGCTTGAATTTGGTTTGAATTCAGACCTTTTATACATTGTATTAAATAATTAATCATGCTACTTTTTCTCAACATGTTTCAGTTGTGTTTCGGGAAAAATGACGTTAAATAAGTAAAATAAGACATAAAAACTTACATTAAACATTCTTGCAGTGAATCGATCGTTTCCCTCCTTAAGAAGTTTGTCCAGTAGTTCCGCATATTCTTGGGCCATAGCTACTGCCACTAGAACCGATACTGTAAAGTAGATATTTAAAAATAATTTTATTTATTTATTTAGAAATGGCTGTCAAAGTGCAAGTTACATTGAACGACTACCCTCCCTGAATCTATTTGTCTATCCCCTTCTCTTGATTTCTTCACAGAACATGTCAAGGAACATTTTTTTAACTACTAAGTTCGTCATTTCTCCGTTATTCCTAAATTTATTCCCTGTGTATTATAAATTATTAATACAAAGATTTCGATCTTTGTATTAATATAGAATAGAATAGAATAGAATACAGTAGAAGTGGTTAGTTAGCGTCTGACGCGTGCCAACAGTAGGTCTTGTTAGACCTATTTGAGGTCAGTCCTCCATTTTTATGGTGTGGTTGTGTCATTCTTTCGCGCAAATTCTCTAAAATTTTAGAGAATTTGCGTAAATAGTGCAGTTTTAGAGAAAAGCAAAATTATTATCCGTAGTAGTATTTCATATCATCGATAAGTCTTAATGTAATAATTTTTTTATTATCTGTTTATGTAATTGATTTTTTGTACTTAAGTAGGAACATGTTGAGCAATAAAGGTGGTGATAGTGATTAGTAGTCAGTGCTTCATTTAAGATCCTGATCTCGAGAAGAGCAAGAACCCTCATCGTCCACCGAACGTTAACGATCCTACGAGAGCTAGAACACCAACAGACTATAAGATTAAATCTTAAGAGAGACTACACTAATTAAGTTGTTTCGTATTAAAAAGGTGTTAAAAAGTCTATAAGAACAATTTCTTTTTTCTAAAACCATTTATAGAGAACTATTATCTAAATCAATACCATATTAAGACAGTTTATAGACATAACAGTTTTAAGGCGTATAAAGTGTGCTCCTTGGGCAGCTGCGGTTTATCGGTTTCCAGGTGGAGGATATATCCTTTTATCCACCACCTGGAAATTATTCCAGATATCCTTTGGCTGCACCCCTTTTGCATATCCCAAATGTCTATCCTAAGATTTTCTGTAACAAATTGCTACATAACAATAAGGCCGCCCGTTCCACGTTAAATTACCGTTTTTATACTTAAGTTACATAATCAAGATTAAAGAATATCATTTCATTCACGCAACTTCATTTACACGAATTCATTACAGTTATGTATAATAGTAAATAAGTTTTATTTTTAAATCGTACTGATTCTCCTCGTAATTAAAAACTCGTTTTTGAATTCGCTTCTTCGCTCTAAACTTGATTGGCAGTTATTATAAAACTGGTTCCGCCCCACTATGTGAGAAGGAATATTATAACGATTACTATGGACATTTCGAATCACAAATTTTGGAACGATTCATTTGCAAAATATTTTTATGAACGACAAATTTGGTTTGTGTATATATTGAGGCATGTGAAAAAGTTGGGGCCAAATTAGTTGGAACGATTATTCCGAAATAAATTTGATTTTACATATTTTACGGTATTATAACCGACAAAATTCACGCATATTTACCATCAGTTCAGATTGCGTACTAACTTAAGTCTAGTATTAGATAGTTACATAAAAAAATCAGCAAGGTGGTAAACATTACAGTAATTATTTTGATAAGAATGTTTGTTTTCATTTGCAAAGTTACGACCTTGAGTTAAAATTGTTTTCATTGTATAACTGTAGGATTCCATTAAAATCAAATTGATGCAGCAATATTTTATCGCGATAACGTGAAGTAAATAAAAAACAACACAAAATTATCTTTTACAAATAATCTACTCAACTTTGACTGTAATTATATATCCATTGACACACAAGAACACGTTTTGTCACAACTAGGCTTAAGATCGAAAATACAGTTAAGATTTTTTTAAAGAATCGGATCATTATTGGACTATAGGTTACTGAACTCAAAAATCATTAAAAAACCAGTAATTTGGGAAAACAAGTTAAAGCGAAATCTAATTATTAAATTATAAGAATTATCATTTGATATGTATTACGGAGATAATTGATTGATATTTGACTCGAAACTTTATTCTCTATGAGTATAGTATAATAAGACACTTAGAGTAAATCCACATAAAAGGTAGCAGCGCGACTTGTATGTGTGCACGCTCGCCGCCCGTGTACGGATGCACACGTAAGTATAATCTTACCTCCCCGTTCAGACGGCATTGTACTGCACGTTTTTTGCAGTACAATGTTTTTACCAAATAAACAGTAGCGCATAAATTAGATTTAGAACCGTCCACATAGTGTTTGTTCTGCCGAAAACCGCACACATGTCTATGTTTATCGAATGCGCAACGGACTTTTCAAGCAAATCGAATGAACTTTAACGTATTCGGTGTGAAAGTGGCGTATAGTATTAATGCATCTCTTTCACACAGCGCGTAGTCATACTTTTTTATCGAATAGTCACCGAACAAGCGGCGTCTATGAAGTATCTTTTGGAAGGCGGGCACGCTTAATTTTAATAATAGAAAATGACCGGCGAATCTTCTGTGGACAACGATTTATTTATTGATATCTTTAGTGGAATAAAGGCCCGTTTTGTGGGACAAAACTATGGAATTGTATAAACCCACCTGCTGTTCTTCTGGCGGTAATGCCAATTCTATTATTTTATGCCGATATAAAAGTGCAACGAAGCGTGGATCCATCACAAACGTGTTCCCAGGGCGATTGCTGTGTGATTAAATATCCGTCTTTTAAACGCACGAAAATATATCGTGTGAACACCTCGCTATCTATCTGTTTATAGTCGAATACGTTAAAAACCGTGCAGGATAACGCCGTGTGAACCAAGGCTTACGGTGCACTCGAGTTTCATAGCGCGGGTTGTCACACTCCCCATTGACTATACAATTGAAGCGATCGCTCAGTGTTTATAAAATGACATTAAAAAGTGTTTATTGATGTGTTTGGGGTAAATTGAACAAGGTTGCCTCAAATTCAGAATTGTTCAGCATTTCATTTCTATTTCATAATCAAACTCTATAATTAAAATAACAATCTGCGATGGTGGTATAAAAATATCATTAAGTATTTACTTACTGCATTTAATAAAGGTTATTAATCAATATAACACGACTAAACTGTGATGAACACCTTAAGTATTACAATTTTTATTGAATTGATATTCAATTATTTTTATGTGAAATTACTTCACTAGTTTGTTATAATTATTAATACAAAGATCGAACACCCAGAAAAAAATCCTTCGATCCGGCCGGATTCAACCCGACACCTTCTAGCTTACAGTGCCAGACGCTATACCAACTAAGCCACGGAACGAACCAGCGGACTTCGCAAATTATTCTATGCGCTTGTTGTCGGATCTTTATATTTGGTTTTTCAACGACTTTTTAGCCGTAGCGCCATATATAAGAAATCTATGATATTTCGTCACCCAGTTAGATACCTTTACAGCTATCAGCCCCGGCTAGAGAAGTCGCCATTCATTGTATTTAAATTTTTATCGAATTGATATTCAATTATTTTTATTTGAAGTAATTTACTCCACTAGTTTGTCATAATTATTAATACAAAGCTCAAACACTCAGAAAAAATTCCTTCGATCCGGCCGGAGTCGTCTTTCAGCATACTAATTTAATATGCTGGAAGAGGTATATAGACGTATATAGAAACTGAGTCTATTAACATTAAAAAAAATTGTCAGTTTTATTATTTTGTATGAAAAATATTTTTTGAAATATGACCAACTTCGGCTGTCCCAATTTTTTTCGTCCCATACAATGAAATGATCCTTTCATGAAACTAAGTCGATTAGCACTAAAAATATTTTGATACATTTTTATTCATTTTTATGGACAACTCTCGCTTGAACAAAACATAATATACCAAAATTATTTTTTCAAAAAACACTTAAAATTCCTAAGACAGTTTCCCTGTATCTTATATGGTTTCGGATTTCCCCTTACTGTCACATTTCAAAACACACTCTGCATATTAACGAAAATGGCGAGTGGTCCCATAATTCTTGATAAACGTACACACACACATATATGTATATATGTATATATATATATATATATATATATATACATATATATATATATATATACATATATACATAAGATTTTCTAAGTTATACGTAAACAAAACATACATATCGAGCCTTCAAACATTAACACCAAGCCTAACATAAAACGGTACCTAACCACGTTTAAGGAAAAAAACTCACGTGTTAAAATAAGCTTCATGTTTGTTGCTGCGTGTGCGACCGCTGATGTCAGAATAACCTGTTGGCATGATGTGACTCCTCTTTTATCTGTTTTTTTTTTGTCCGAGGCCTCAAGGATTCGTTCCTAATAGTTTTATTGAGTACGTATTATAGAACTACTGGGACAAATAAGTCCCTGTAGTTCTATTAAATTATATTTCAAGAATAATAGAATTGTGAGAAAAAAATAATTCCAAGTAGTTGCATTGGGTTATTTCTATTTTTACCCCGAAAATAATAAATAATATCAGGTAACTTCTTTTCAATGATTTTTAAGCGACTTCAAAAAAGGAGGATATAATTTAACAGAACTGCTGAGACTTTTTGTCCCAGTAGTTATATAATAGAACTACTCAATAGAACTAGTGGGAGCAAACCGCCTCAAGGATGCTCGGATTACGGCTCTAAAATATCGGATTTCGTCAATTCGACCATGTTTCCCAATATCGCTCACAACTTGGTGGATGATCAGTCATTGGCGCAGAGATCTTCACATCCTGGAATGGAATTCCCTCTCTGAACCGATTCGACTAGCCCCTTCTCTTGATTTCTCCAAATAACGTGTCAAGGATCACTTCCTTACCAAGTTTCGTCGTTTCTTCGCTATCCCTTAATTTGTTTTCTGTACTTCTACTTTCTCTCAAAAGTATACATAATATTGCTATTTATTCTCATGTATTAAAATTCTCTATACGAGTTTTTAAGTACCTACATATATATAAAGTTTAGTAGTTATTATGTACTATATTTATGAAGCTATCTTTTATTTGCACCCCTTTTGCATATCTTAAATTTCTATCCCAAGGTTGCCAGAAAGAAATTGCTACATAGCAATAAGGCCGTCTGTTGCAAATTACAATATAATTTTATTACTTATGTTACAGAACAGTTCCTGTGTTGTCACTGTTTAGTTTATGTGTAATAAAGAGTATTTCATTAATTCTATCATAACCGATTTTGGATGCAACTAACGCACCGATTGTATGAACAAGGAAATAATTCCAACAAAATAAGGAAAACTTAGTTAAAACCGTATACGAGTATATCATCCTAAATTATTTAAAGCCCTAATGGATTTTACTTTGATTTTAAATGATTTGCTTTAAAAAGGGATTACTTGGTACTTGATGTGACGGGCTGGTGTCCGCAAGTCGACGTCAAAGCGCCTATTTTGCGTGTGGAAAAAGGGATTAGTCAGAATTGTTAGTTTTTGTAGTACCACCATTGACTTACAATTATATGGACGTCGGGTCCGCGCTTAAAAGTGTCCGAACTTATAGGGCGTTAAAATCGTGTACAGAGCGTCATTCACGCTTTAGTCTTCGTTTGTTCGACTGACAGCGAAGCAAGCAAAATTAGACAGTACTGCGATGACATTACAATTTAAATTCAACGTTTTAGCTTTTTCATATTCCTTTACATGTCACTACGTTTAAATAGGTTGACTTGGGACATTTTTTTCGTGGTTTTTGTATTAGAGCCGTCGTCCATTTATTTGTAAGTCAATGAGTACCACGGACTCCTTATCATCTACATTTCTCTCATTACGCTTTCCGTGGAAACGAGTTCGTTTCTATTGTAGTTGAAAGTGCGTACTATTTTTCAATTATAGAGTCTGATATGAGGGATAGGGATTTGACAAGCAGCCATTGATTGTTTAAAGTTTTTAGTGTTATTTTTAATGCATAGTATTTGACTTATTATTCATAAAAAAATCTAAAAAATACATTAAATACAATAATAGTTTAAAATTACAAGGCAGAAACATGATTTACAGAGTTTTCGCTAAAACTTTTCGACTTTTATGTAAAGATCTTGTTTTGTTTGCCCGAAACCACATTACGACTTTTTTTATTTCACTATTTAATGATTCACTATTTTGATATTTTGACAAGTTATTGGTTTCCCGATTTTCATTTTCCATGCAGTTTGACTGATGTACCGAATCGAATATTTTGTTACAAAAAACGATCCATAATACATTTTTTAAAGTTTTATTTTGCCTCGGATTTAATTTAATGCGATTGACACAATAAAACCTGTAGTATTTTGGTTAATTTGATTAAATTAAAATATACTTAATTTTTAGTAAAAGGTGGATTAAGGGCTTATTCCCATCTGATCCCCTAAAACGGATCCTCTGATAGATCCGTTTTATTCTTTATTAGTCCCTATTCCCGTCGGATCCCCTGTGCAAGCACAAATCTAAGAGATGATGCAGATTTGCAGATTGTTCATATTAATGAATATAAATTGCAGTTAAGAAAGCCATCAACAAAGCGATGATTACAATACAATGACAATAGCAACCGATACATGGCACAAATACGTCACTTACCAACTTTTGAGCGGAAATATCACAGTAAACAGTGACTAGTTTAGAAAAACATGGGTTCTAAATATTACTCGAGACTGGTTTTTTAGTACAATTGTGATTTGCAATAATAATGTCAATATTAATGACCTGTCGCAAAAAAAATTTGACTGTCCGTGTTAATTATAACATTTGATCACAATTGATTAATAAATGAATATTTGATTTTAAAATTTCTTTTTCTCTTGATTCTACTCACCTTACAAATACAACGATGTGACCCATTGAGAGTTGTAAAATATAGAGTAGATCAGCTGGGATTTAAAATTGGAGGTGGATCAGTTGCAAGGTATCAGACATGAATAAGCCGAATTAAGATTACATTTACATGACTTGTACTTCATTACAAATAAACTTAAAATTGTTATTAAAAACTCCGACAATTATTTGAAACACGTTCGGAAATGCAATTAACTTTACAATTAATTTAATTTAAATTTTAAATTATTAATTTATTAAATTTATTAAATTAAGTAAAATTTATTATAATTAAATTAATTAAATTTTAAATTTACCTACTAAAGAAGGATTAGCCCTACCCTGAGATTATATTTTTAAATTAATTTGCTATATGTTAACAGCTACAATATGAAAATAAAAAATAGCAAATTTTTTTTCAAAATTAAGTAACACTAAGTAGGTAAAATTATACATATATGTAATAATAATTTATCTAATATTACTTTTTTCGGACAAAGGACACTTCTTTCTGAATTAGAAAGTACCAGTCATGGCACTAATGAAGAAAAGTCGAACCGTGTTGGAATAGTGAGATTCGGTAACAAGAAATTCATGTTTGTGATATGTTACCTCCTTAATGGCACCAACATGAAATTGGTGCACTTTTAGAGTTATTTATTACGCAATCAATTAAAACTCTACAACAAAAGGGGACGATATTAAACCATATAGTGCAGTGCAAAAGTTAGTCTTTAGTGCCAAATCTCATATCATCATAGATGTCATATTAGTAGAATATACTATATACTAAACTGTACGTAATAAATATATAATACTGCCACTGTGGCCGAACGGTTGCCATGCCGGACTGCTACGCAGATGTCCCAGATTCGATTATCGGGCCGGGAGAAATATTTGTATGGCCTATAATTATTTCTCTCGTGAGTTTGGGTGTAATTTGTGGTTGTCTATGTGTGTGTCCATAGCACCCAGGACACAGGATTTCCCTTGTGCGGGGCTATGTTGACTGTGTGCGTTATTATTATTGTTTTATTATTATATGTTACGTGTGTTGAAAACAAACAACAATCGACAAAAATCGTTTTAAAAATTCTAATTAACGGTTTAATGAAACTCTGTTCTACCCTCACTCCTTTAACTCGCGTTCCTAAGAACCGGTCTACGATCTGTGACGTGCATTGCGGAGGTTATTCACCGCGCTACTACCAAGTGAGTAAACCAGTTGTCGAATGACATCGCGCTACTCTAAGCGCTACGAGCTACGTACGTTCGCATACATCACAGATCTGCTACGCCTCGCTTCTTTCAATTGAACCGTTATGTGTCGTCGTTTCGGCTGACACGGATAGGACCGGTTCAATTTACAATAGAACAGACTACATTTACTAATCGAAATGTACTGCGCTAAAATGCAAGTCGGTAACATCATGGACAATCTATATAGCAGGGTTGTTACCCTGGCATCAGTGACAGCGATAGTTATACTAAATGCATCTTCAATCTTAAACAGTGTCATTTTTTTAACTGGGACGGTTTGGAGACATCCGAAACCATAGAAGATACAGGGAACCTTTTTAGGAACATTTAATTTTATCAATTTTACTCGCATGAGTAAAAAAATTCATACAATATTGTATGATTTAAAAAAAAATTAAATTTGACCAACTTCTGCAGTCCCATATTTTTTTTTCCAATACAATAAAATGATCCTTACATGAAATTGAGCCAATTAGCGCTAAAAAAATTATAATTTTTATCCATTTTTATGGACAACTCACGTTTCACCAAAAAATATACTAAGGATGCCAAAATTGTTTCCATTTATAGCAGTAGAGCTCCTTGTGAAAGAGTTCGTCTAGGGCAGTACTGCTATTTTACCTATTTTTGCCGCCAAGCAGTAATGTATTTAGTATTACTGTATAGTACAGTATTACTGTGTTCCGCTTTGGAAGGATAAGCGTGCTGGTTTAAATTACAGGCATATGGGACTTGTCAAATTTTGTCTCAGGGTGACGGGCCCAGTGGCAGTGCCCCTGAGATCTTTGCGATTTAAAGCTCTGAGTGGCACCGCAACTTTAATGGACAGGTTTGCAGCTTACCACCAGGCGCACGACTTGTTCGTTCCTTCTCTTGATATTATAAAAGAAAACAAAAAGACTTAACGGTTCCTAAGACAGCTTTCATGAATGTCCTATGGTTTCTCCATACAGTCCCAGCTTAAAAATACACGCTGTATCCTGGTGAATACACGTTCCCATACAAAATTAAATAAAAAAAATCGTCTTCTCGTCAGCTCAGTGAAAAAATTACTTAAAATGATGTGAACATTCTTAACATAAAAATAATGCGAGTTACATTAAGAGCGGTTACACACAGCGACATTCAGCAGGCTAAACATGACGAAAGAAAGTTAAATTCATAATAAAA